AGATCTACATGTTCAGGAACTGATCCATATTTGACATTACATGGTTTTTATATATATATATATATATATATATATATGCATAGGCCTCAACCCTCTAAGCCACGTAATTGACCAGACTGGCTATGGATACCGCCTCAGGAACGGAGCAGAGATCAGTCACCTCCTCTACATGGATGACATCAAGCTGTACGCCAAGAGCGAGAGAGACATCGACTCTCTGATCCAAACAACCAGGATCTACAGCCATGACATCAGGATGTCATTCGGACTCGAGAAATGTAGCAGGATGGTGACTCGGAGAGGCAAGGTAGTCCACACAGAAGGGATCTCACTCCCAGAGGGAACAATAGCAGACGTTGAGGACAGTTACAAGTATCTCGGTATACCACAGGCAAATGGCAACCTCGAACAGGTGACGAGGAAAGCGGCAATTGCCAAATACCTCCAGCAAGTAAGGCAGGTCCTAAGAAGCCGGCTCAATGGCAAGAACAAGGCCCGGGCAATTAACAGCTACGCCCTGCCAGTGATCAGATACCCTGCAGGAATAATCAGGTGGCCAAAGGAAGAGATTCAGATTACGGATGTTAAAACTCGAAAGCTCCTTACCATGCATGGCGGGTTCCATCCGAAATCCAGCACCCTGAGACTGTACGTAAGCCGTAAAGAAGGAGGCCGAGGACTAGTGAGTGTGAGAGCCACTGTCCAGGACGAAACATCCAAACTCCATAACTACATCATGGAGAAGGCCAAAACGGATGACGTACTCAGTGAATGTCTCAGGCAGTGGCGAGATGAGGAGGTGCTGGAGGAGAGCCCATCATGGGAGAACAAGCCCCTACACGGCATGTACCACCGGAGCATAACAGAAGTGGCTGATCTCAAGAAGTCCTACCAATGGCTAGAAAGGGCTGGCCTACAGGACAGCACAGAGGCACTCATCATGGCTGCACAGGAACAGGCACTGAGCACCAGAGCGATAGAGGCCCAGATATACCACACCAGACAAGACCCAAGGTGTTGGTTGTGCAAAGAGGCACCTGAGACGATCCAACACATAACTGCAGGGTGCAAGATGCTGGCAGGGAAGGCCTACATGGAACGCCATAACCAAGTGGCTGGCATAGTGTACAGAAACATCTGTGCAGAGTATGGGCTGGAAACCCCAAGGTCTAAGTGGGAAACTCCTCCAAAGGTTGTGGAGAATGAGCGTGCGAAGATCTTGTGGGACTTCCAGATACAGACCAACCGAATGGTAATGGTGAACCAACCTGACATCGTGGTGGTAGACAAAGGGCAGAGGACAGCCCTGGACGTGGCAATTACAAGCGATGGTAACATCAGGAAAAAGGAACACGAAAAGCTTGAGAAATACCGAGGTCTCAGAGAGGAGCTGGAGAGGGCCTGGAGGGTAAAGGTGACAGTAGTGCCCGTGGTGATGGTGCACTCGGGGCAGTGACCCCGAAGCTAGAGGAGTGGTTACAGCGGATCCCTGGAACAACCTCGGACATCTCGGTCCAGAAATGTGCAGTGCTAGGAACAGCAAAGATACTGCGCCGAACCCTCAAGCTCCCAAGCTCTCAAGCTTAGAGAGGGATAACCGCCCGCGGAGGGCGAAAGGTGAGAATATTATATATATTATATATATATATATATATATATATATATATATATAACTATGGCACCGTAGGATATCATCATGAATTTCAATTAATTTCGTTGTAGTTATTTTATTAAATCCGCTCACAGCTGTTATTTATACTCATCAACTAATTAATATTTTCTATTTTGTCACTCATGGAGATTGCAATAATTAGACAATACTCATTTTTAAATAATTCACAGAGAAATCACATTCTCTATATGTTTGTAGTCCAGTGGTGGTAATTATGCTATAATTAATCTTAGTTAAAATACATACATATCTTTCATTTCAAATGATGTTTGTTTCCAAAATCAGACACAGAAATGTAAATCAGGTTTGTATAATATTTGCAATGTTTTATAAGTAATTATAACATCAACAGAAGGAGGTTAGAAGTGACTGGGCGCCTGTGTTATAATAGGCGTTTAGCTCCAATACATTTTCACTTGGTTGCTTTTTCAAAGTAATGACTTTCTGCTGCTGACACAGAAGTTTAGTCCTCTACAAACGTTTTCTAGAATGAAAACACTCAAACACCTTTTGTTTCAACTTTCTCCTTGCACGACTAATTCTATGATCATTCATGCTGCTCTAGTTTGACAAACGTGGCCCCAGTCTGCGAACACACTCACAGTAAAGTGACTCCATCAAACTGGATGTACAGACAGAGACGGGAGCGCAGATAGAGCGCTCACTCTGAAGTCGGAAGATTGAGACGTCAGCGCAACACGAGAGCTCATGATGTACGAGGAGAGTATCACGCCACAGTCAGAGGCGTGTGGGAGAGGGAGGAAACTAGGACTGGTGTCTTTACATGGAAACTTCAGTTTTTAAGATGTATTTATTGAGCTAGAAAAAAATGGTGACTTTATTACACATTTGTACTGATTTTGGTCACAGGACCTGACAACCCTAAGAGTATTTAAACATGCTTTTTTTTTTTTTCATTTTACAATAATGTAAAATACTTTTCTTTGCACGTATTCGTTATTGATCTAAAATGAACAAAAATTAGCAGCATATAAATCATCTGGTGACAAAGGTGCACAACAATCACTGCATCGATGTCAGTGCTCAGCGACTGATGCATGTGCAGGAAAAACATTTAGAGCATTCCTCTCATATATTGTTTCTAATGATGCCACACACAATAGCTCATAGTCAGCTCATATCAGTTATGGAGGAAGCATTTGTTTCCTGTAGCTTCAGACACATTAAGTGCTTACACCAATGGGAAAATAACAACTAGTGCACAGAAAAGAACGATCATGATCAGAACCAGCTAACCAGTTGCATGCAGTAGTCATAAGAGGATGGACAGCTGCACACATGGATTCAAGGGCCCAAGCCTCGATCTGTGGATCAATTGTTTTCAGTTGATTGGATAAATATTGAATTGTGTTGTGGGACAAATTTCACCTTTAGGGTGATACATTGTATCTAGGCTTATATAACCCACTTCAAAGAAAATAACTGAATTGAATCACAGCTTTTGAAATCAATAACATGGCTGAAGGACTCTTTGCTCATTGAAAATGTACAAAACACAATTTGTACAATCAGAACCTTTTTTATGAAACATTTCCTGAACATTCTTCAATATGAATGTTTTCATAAAAGTTTTCATTGCTACTTTCTTTTCAGTCTCAATGTGAATGCACAAACATTCACATTTTACTGCAGAACAGTTTGTTATCTATGTGACTGAAACCTCGTTCTCAACAACCCTTTCAAAGAAATTGTGGATTTCTAGGAAGGAAAGGTCTAACTATTGCCTCGATAGAATATGAGTCAATGGTGTAGGTTTGGTTCCAATCTTGGTGGGGACGTTCACTACGACCTGAGTCTACACCCATTGACACGGGGTCCAGAGTTTCTCCCCAGAATTTGTTGTGTAATCACACACTATATTTGCAATAGTGTGTTGCCTTCTATACTAAACTCAGCTGTAGACTGAATGAGAAGCAGTTATGTATGTTAACAGAAGATTAATCATCACAATTCATAATTTGCTATTACTTGTGCTTTCTCTTACTTACTTTCCAACTGTTAAAAAAGCTCCTGATATCTTTTATCTTATTTGTGGAGGTGGCATTTTTTCTAAATTATATAAGAAGGTATAGACAATCAAAAACAGACATTCATATACATGAACTGCAGAATCATTTATATAACTTGGCCAATGTCAAAAGTTACATAGTATTTCTCAATACAATGAGTTAACAAGAGTTCGGCAATAAGTAACAGTGTGGATTTTTCTATATTTTCTTTTTTTTATTCCACTCTCAACCCAAAAAGGCAAGTAATGACTCACAGGGCTCTCAAGTATGCAACATAAAAACTTAAATGACCTGTTGTGGTGTGTTTTGCGCACAACCAGCATGCATCGTTAACGCAATGGAAAATTTAGGTATCCGAGCTTTAATTTTGGGAGCGCTGGTTGCGCTTTGGGAAGAGTCAGGGGAGAGACATGTCAGAGACACAGGGGAGAAACGGGGGAGATACGAGGGAGACCCGCACTTGCAACATGGTTCTGTCTGCATATGGTCCGAGCTCGGTACCATGTTAGAGCTGTGCTTTCACTGAGCGCCGCGGCTGTCATTACAAAGCGGCAGCAGCTGCACCAGGACGTGCACATTCGAGTGCATCTCTTGAATGTGCTTAGAGCAAATAACAGCAAGTGCCCGCTGTCACACATTTCACAGAAATTACATTATCAGCAGATAAAGGTTGTAAATCGTGGATCCGTGGAATATTTTTATCCCTAGTTTATCCTGATTCACACAACACACCCACTTATACATTTTGGATAGTAAGAGCACAATAAGTATTTTTTCAGCCTTTCAACCAACCTGTTTCTTTATTGGAGCCAGTTCTGTTCTGTCTCTGTGCCGTGTGAGCTCCTCGGGACATTAAACAGTGCGCTGACAGATTAGAAATAACGTAAGTACTTTGAATGGTAATATATCTACAGTACTTTCCTCTGATTACTCACGTGCTACAACGCTCAGGGAACGAAAAAAAACACTTGCTTCACGCTGGCTAACTTTTAAAAATTAAACAGTCGCTCAGTGCTTCAGTTTGGCGCTGAAGAAGACAGCCAATCACTGCAGAGAACGGAACGGGTCACGTGCTGCTGCTGCTGCTGTTGCTCTGGAGGCGAGGAGGAGGCGCGACGTGTGCACAAACGGAAGACATGTGTCCCGGACCGTCTGGGTCACGGGACATCATGTCATTTTGGTGGGGACTTTTTAGTCCTCACCAAATATTGGTGGGGACATGTCCCCATGGTCCCCACGCAAACCTACGCCCTTGATATGAGTGTTTAGTTATTGCACAGGGGTGATCATGGTCATACCAGTGGGCAGGGCGGGGTCCATGGTGGTCTTCTCCCATGAGTTGACTTGTTCCCAGGTAAATCCATTGGTGCCCAGCGATACACTGTAGCCACAGCTGCTGTAAGAATCCTCAAACGTACAGCCTCCTGTCACACACCACAACAGCAAGTTAGAAATACAATGAAGGAAACAATTTGAATGGCTTTGGTTTCATGCTCGAATTCATGGCAGTCAATATAGCAACATACTGTATGTGGTATATTGTACACATAAGGGCGGCACGGTGGCTGAGTGGACAGCCCTCTCGCTTCTCAGCAAGAAGGTACTGGGTTCGAATCCCCGTCGGAACAGGGCCTTTCTGAGTGGAGTTTGCATGTTCTCCCCTTGTCTACGTAAGTTTCCTCCAGGTACTCCGGTTTGCCCACAATTGTAAACCGCTTTGTGACTCTGGTCTGTGAAATAATCTATATAAATAAAGATTATTACTACAACATTGTAAATTGTAAAAACCTGTCTTTGTCCTTTACATAATTATTTGTGTTTAGTTAAAAAGGGGCAACATGGCATGTGCGTTATCATTAAATCAAGTGTGAGAGAAAGTTTATTCATGATCGTGTTGGCGCCCAAACATTAGCAGCTAAATACTCAATAGTGCAAATAGTAACAACATAGATGGATTTAAATATATCACGGTCACTATTCAAGACATGTTAATTTAATCTGGTTTGTATTTTAAGCCCAACGCCTGTGCACAGACTCCCATTGCATCACCACACACCACTAAATCCTGCTGCAAGTAAAAGCCAGTCCCTAACACCACAGACAAATGCGACAGAAGAGACACTGTTATCACTGCGTGCCATCCTGATTGGACACGCTTATTTCCTGGTTATTTGCGGGCTCATTTACCGGCGCATTAGCCTTCAGCACTCGCCCCAACACACACACACACGCACACACACACACACACACACACGCACAGACACACACACACCTAATCGCACATATGCTTGACACTCTACACTTTAATGTGTCCTGAAGTGCGTACTGCGGCTGTCAGGGCGCTCTTCACTCCGCTGTTCTTAACGTGTGCAGCTGTCAGAGCCCAGTGAATGAGAAATTAGTGCGTTCAAATCTATTCACAAAACAGAATGTGTACTGCGACGCTGGAGCCAGAGGCGAAACAAGACGTACTTTGAAATAGAAGGAAAAGAGGGGCAGATGCAGAGAAACTTGTAATTATTTTGTGATGGATTTGAGCTGTGTTATTGGCGTTTATGCTAATGAATGCTAAGAAAAAAATCTCGCTACAATGTATTTAGCTTTTTTAATGTATTTAGCTTTTTTAATGTATTTGTCCGTATTCATTTGTCTTTTGTTTATCTAGAACAGGGGTTTTCCAAACTTTTAAGTAAGAGGGCCAATTTAGTTCATCAGACTTGACCTGGGGCCGACAACCTGGATTAAAAAACCTGGATTAGAGCTGGATTGACTGGATTTTGGAATTTAAAATGGGTTATGATACGTCCATATGGATGCACACCACAGCTGAATTTTTTTTTTTTATGTTGTGACACAATCATGAACAAATGTCAGTAAATAACAATAGAGTCAACAAGTGGATTCCACAGTGTCAAAGAGCCTTGATAGGGACTTTGTATTAGCAGCAGAGGGCCAAATAAAATGCCACAGAGAGCCGCATTTGGCCCACAGGCCTGAGTTTGGACATGCCTGATCTATTTTGTCATTTTGTTCATTTTTGTAAGCCCATGTAACTAAGTAAGTAAGAAAGAGAGTAAGTGATGCATGTGAGTATCTGGGCTGCCCCATTTTTACCAACTCATTAAATTTCAATTCATTTAACAGCAGTCGTTGCGGAGGATTTTACAAAGTTGTCATTTTGCCGATCATTAGAATCAAACATTTCGAACACAAATACAATAACAACAAACACATGGGAGCCATTGGTCCATCTGGGAGGATGACCAATGTTCAAACATGTTAATAAGTCTGAAATGTGTTGGACATTCACCACTGACCCTTCTGCATCTGCAAAGAACAATTCTAAAACCTGGTGCGAATAAGTGAGAAACCTTGGGGAGGCCCACGTTGAGGGAGGGATCCGCTTCCACAAATGAAGTGACTATAGATCCCGGACTCAGACTAGAACCAAAGCTCTATGGTCCCAACACACGAACACATGCAGCACTGAGTAGAATTTAAGTCCTGACCTTAAAAGCTACGTGGCCATGAAAATACAACAATACATTTGCATTCTGTTTGGTCTCCATGTTTTTGTATGTCAATTAAACTTTCTATAGACACAGATTAGACTGATCTGTGTGTCGGATGTTTTATTTCCTGTTTGAAATAATCTAGAGTTTTTGATATGTGGATAACAGCAGTCTCCTATATGAATATTTCATCATTGAATATTTGATGGTTTGTTTATCACAAACATGTTCATAATCAGATGTAGGCCTCTGGGTCATGATCACACAGAGAATATGAGCCCATGTTGTACGCATGTAGTTCACAGTCTGTTCTGTTTTCTGTGCTTGTATAAGATGAAACGAGGAGAGGGTGGAGCGGACTCATTCTCAAACTAGACTTCGGACCGCTGATCATGGCTTCAAAAGATTATTGAATTAGATTTCCCTCCATTTGATTTATTTAGATGTCCTAGATGTTCTAAGCGGGTGCACTGTGAAGCCATTTCCACAATATGTTTTCAAAATGGATTTATAGGCATTGCACATAAAAAACCCAAAGAAGAACTTCATTCAAATAAAGGAGGACTGTGGAAATTCAAAAAACTGACTTACATCTGTTGACAAAAAGTTGATTGTCATATCCAGGCAGAGCAACGCTGATCCAAACACAGAAGCCAAAGAAAAGGCTTTTGTCAAATTCCTCTTTGAAACAAACAATCTTAACATTTTGAAGGCAGCTTTGACTCAAGATAAGATAAGATAGACTTTCCTGATCTCACACTGGAGAAATGTACATATCACGGTGTGCAAACATGTTAAAGGCAAAACATATAGTCTGTTCAGGACATATATACGTACAAAAAGAAACTAAAGAAACAGTGGCAACAGTAATGCAGGTTTTTCAGTCCTAGCGCATTAGTGACTTAAAGTGACTTACTCAACTATCTGCTTTTCCTTTTTGGTTTAACATACAGGATGAATGCTGCCCTTCTGACCAATCACAGCGCTTGTTTGGTAAAGGTTCGGAAACACACTCTAAATCTCACGTGTTCTGGTTTGCGCAGCCGACCTTGATTATTGCCAGAAACAAGATGTGCACCAATGTCTATCTTTCCGGTCATTATATGTCACTCATCAGTCTAGTTCACTTCACTGAATCCACACAGAACTGATTGCATTAATGTCCTGCCAGTTCAAATTAAAACTACTTTCAGATACTACGACATGTTCATTGGAAAACTTTATTTTCCAATTAGACACTGCCAGTTAGTTTGATGAATTAATCAAAAGCAAATGAAATGGTTTCGTAATTAGTTTGACAATGCCTCAGTGGACAGTGTTTTCTTTAGACTGAATAGTGCGTGTGACATACATTACTTGGAGAAAAAAAGGTAATTTTATCAAATACAGGTTGTTAAAATGTATTTGTTGAAGGAATGTGATCATAAGCTTAACGCTTTCTAGACCATTTCTTTTTCCTTTTACTTTGAGATATTAAAACAACCAGCCAGAAGCCATTCTAATCTAGCCTGGCCTTAGCCATCCGTACACTCCACTCAATGATACTTTCCCTGCATGTAACGTCTGGGTCGGGTCCCTGTGTTTGCCGTTACAATCGGTTGAATTCCATACGACCAATCAGCGAGCGCGGGAGGCGGGTGTTGTAGATAATTGTGGGAGACGTCACGAGGTGACGTCAAGAGTTTGCGCCGAACAGGCAGATTGTAGTTTGGCAATGGCGAAGAATGCGAGAGAAAAGTATTTCGGTCAAGAAATTGAAGCCAAGGCAAGAGGAATGTTCAGCAAATGTAATCGCTGGCAAAGATTGTGGCGCTCATCCCCGCGGGCTCCGTTAGCAGCAAAGTAAGTAAGTAAGTAAGTAAGCTTTATTTAAAGGAGATGGCTAGGCTAAATGCTAAATGATAACGACTCACTCGGGCGCATTACATAGGTGACGTAAACTCAGATCCAATCGTTTCAATCTGCAAAAGGTGTAAACCCCTCCCACCTGTTCACGGAGCTCAATGGAGCAAATCCAGACCTTAGTACGAAATGTCATTTTTACGATGGTGTGGTACGACCAGGCTAATTCTTATCTGAAGTGAACATTCTGTGAAGATACTATTTGTATAGCTCTTAAGTTGTGTCACTTGACCTAAAGAGATTCTTCCTATAAACATGCCAAAGACTAAGCCAGTTTCGAAATTCTGGGAATCGTTTTTTATTTATAAATATTCTCTATTATGTCATACTTGTGGTTATTTACAAATAATTTTAGAAGGTGCAGTATATGGGAAAAAGTCTTGGGTGATGACATTCCGTCTAGAGGGAAATATGACGTGATTCAGAAAGAATTTAGAAATCCAGTTGAAGGATATTGCTGCCGTTGTGTGCTAAAATGTATTTATTTCCACTTTTAGGGCAAACATATAGAGCCCACTCCCTTCTCTCTCTTATTCTCTCTTTCAAACAGAAGTACAAAGAACTTCTCCTCCATAAAGAGACCAATTCAACAGTGCCGTTTTCAGAAGCAAAGGGCAGGCAGAAACAGTAGCCCCGCTTCCGTCAGTGTGCGTCTTTGAGAGTCTAGAAACGCGATAAAATAAAACCCATCTGTAATCTGTAATCTAAAGTGCTACCATTATTACAGGAAAGTCAAACCATGCAATCAATCAAAGCAAAAATATGAAATGCCTTTTTTTTTTATTATGAACTTGTTTCTGTCAAAGATGTGGCCGAGTGATGTGTGAGGAGCGATGACAGTCTATTCAAACTGATGTGTCCAGTTTATCTCCTATTAGTTCCTATCAGATTTACTGTCAGAGACTAGGGCTGCGTTGCTAAACATTCCCATTAAACATATGTCATCTGCCCCATCCGCAGAACACAGCCAGCGGTAAAGAGCTGTGTGCTTAAATGACTAACCGATGTTA